AGAACTAGCCTTCTTCTTTCATAAAAAATTATAACTTTTATGAAAAGTTGTGACTTTTACGAAAAGTTAAAACTTTTATGAAAAATTATAACTTTTTTCATGAAAAGTTGTGACATTTATGAAAAGTTTCAACTTTTATGAAGAGTTGTTACTTTTATGAAGAATTGCGACTTTTACGAAATGTTGTGCCCTCTCTGAATGGTTGTAACTCTTTCAAAGAGTTGTATCCTTCTGGATAAGAGACAATAATCATTTTCTACGGTATCCTTTTTTTGTCTACAAATAGAGGACTAGACTGTGCATTCAGTGGAGTCGATATTTTTTCATTCTGTTTCAGTCTAATTTTGCATATCCTAGTATGTCTTTTTACAATGATTAGTTTATGCTTATTTTATTAATTGTCATTTTGAGTATATGCTTTAAACATTGTTCTTCATGTTTGTACAAAGTTATTGTTAGAAGTATTTGATAGTACAAATTAAATAACAAATGTCAATTGGGTATTCAAGCAAGTTTTTTCTACTGAAATTGTTGAAGGTACATTAAAAAAAACCCTTCAAATCTCAAATTTCTTCATCAAGAACGTTATTCCTTCACATATAAGGATGCAATTTCGTGTTCTTCAGAAAATCCTCTAAAAGTTAATAGCCTTCCATGCTCATACTTTTTGTTTTTATGTTGTTATCGATTTTTACGAAATGTTATCAATGAATATTATGAGTACTTTAAGGAATGAAAGTTGATTGAAGTGTTAGTCATTTTTTGAGGTATCTTATTTCAAAACATAGGAACTTTTCTGGTTATAATGATTTGTTATCATAAGTGAATATTCCATAGTTTACTCCCTTTAATGTATCTTTTTCCTCGATGTTTTGTTGTCTCCTTACAATTGTATTGATTTTTTATTTGGTATGTATATTATCTGATTATGATAAAGATTTTCATCCTTTTTAATGTTTTCTCTTTTTTTCTTTTCATTCGGCTCTTCTAAATAATTTTGTTGTAAGTTGTGATTATTTTCATCAAGCTTAATTTGATGAATATGAAACAAAACCTACTCTAAACAAAGGTAATATCTTAAAGATATGTCTATTAACATATATTTGTTATCCTTCATGTTCCCTGAGCATTTGAATTATCTAGGTTAGAATCTTTTTTTATTTTTTAAATGTTCGAGAATATTTCTTTAAAATGAGTCTAATATTAAACACGTTTATCGATTTGTATTTTCATAATGCAACAACCACTCGTAAATATTCTTGCAGAAGTCATAAATTTTCATTGATGAAGAATTCGGAAGGACCTTCCGCAGTTTAATGATGAATGAATTTCTATAAGAGTCAACAATATAATTTTGTTGTTGTTACAAATTTATTTTTCTCCTTCTAAATGTCATTAGAGTAACAAATTAATAATGACGAAAAGTGGTGAACATTTGACCTCATACAAGTAGATCGTCTCTAAAAAAACTATTTATGTTGTTGCAGTGTAAATTTTTAACAGTCTTAATTTATTTATAACTCATATTTATCATTAAAATTTTTCACATAAATCTATTTACACAAGGAGTTATTCTAACCATAAAATTATAAGATTCTATATTTTTCATAGTTAAAAAATATAAAAAATTATGTTTAGTCGCTACATTAAAATATCAATCAATTTTAACAAGACAATTATATCATATAACATATAATATGATGTAACATATAAAAACAATTAGATACCAAGATATTTTATAATCAATATTTATATATTTACAATTTTTAAAATATGTGCCAATGTCAAATCATTTAATTTCTTTAGAAATGTTCTAAAAACTACAATAATTTACATTTTTTTCCTTATAAAAGTAATTATATGAAAGATTGTTCAAAAGAATATAAAAATAACATATGCCCGCATGAAACGCAGGTAAATTACCTTATATATATATATATATATATATTATTATTATTATTATTACTACTACTACTACTATTAATAATAACAATAATAATGCAATACACATGCAAAATACATACACTTAACTCATATTGTCCAAATGTCAAATTTGTTATGATAATTCACACGACCATATTTGAAAGAGGTTGACCAACTTTTTATTTATTTTAACATTTGACTCAAATAGTGCTTTTACCTTATAAATTAGCTACTTTTTATAGTTATTATTATTAATTAATTAATTAATGCAATCACACGTGTAGAGGACAAACAGTTGACTAATATTGTCCAAAAGTCAATAATTAATAACACATGCACACGACCATGTTTGGATGAGGTTGACCTACTTTTTATTTATTTCATATTGACCCAAATAGCTTTTTTGACCTTATAAATTAGCTACTTCGGAGTATGATCTTTCAATCATTGTATTGTTCCCTTTGAGGTAGAGAAGAGACTCCTTTTAAAGATGGGCAGAAAAATTGAGATAAAGAAAATAGAAGAGACAATGAAACGTCAAGTTACATTTTCTAAGCGACGTAGTAGTTTATTAAAAAAAGCTGAGGAGATTGCGTTTTGCTGTGACGTGGACGTGTTGTTTGTCGCGTTCTCACCTTCTGGTCGGCTCAATAAATTTTGTAGCCCACAAAGGTATTGTATTTATGATTTCGACAAAAAATATGAATTCCCCATTTTGCCGTGCTAGTTATTAATCTATAAAACTATTATCTTGATTAACTTGTTTTTTTAAAACTACATTTGCAATTTTTGTAGGGTCGAAGATATGCTTCAGCGATACCTTAGGCTTCCGGTTGAGCGGAGATTCACGTACACGAATATTTTCTTCATTTTCTTGAGATTTTTTAGCTATTAGTAACTTATATAGTGTAGCACTAACTTATGAGTTTTTTTTCTTTTGTTGGGGCTAGTCACATGACCGATGTTAAGGTACTTTACTCTTTTATATATTTATTATCTATATGTATTTGTAGGACTTTTCTATTTTCTAAAATTATGTCTTGTTTCTATTGATGTTGATTAATCCGTCTAATCTTTATATGATGATGAAATTTGCTAAAGTTTGAAACGAAAATTAGTACTCGTTCTTACCCATTTCAATTTGTTTCTTTTTTCTTTTACATTTTAATAAGAATGTGTCAAGTTAGGGCCTTTGTGTAACCCGAGGAACTCAGAAATTTATTTATTCACCGATATGGGACACTTCATTCCTTCATTACCTCTTTATACCAGATCTCATACCCAGATCTAGACATTTTTATGTGGAATTCCATGGTAACACCCCATCAAGTCTAGATTTGGATATTCTTTATTCAAACACTGTCCCTAGAGTGTGATATTTATGGACGGGGGTGGTGGGGGTGGTGTATTTCCACCCCCACAACTGTTCCATTTCCTGAGGCCTACATCCA